ACTTAGAATAGATGGTTGCTGAGGTCCCTTCCAACTATCAAATTAGTGACTGTTCACCAAGTCTTGTTAGTCTTACCTCTACAGCATCTCTTGAAACCCGCCCCTTCTCAGTTTCAATAACCTTCTAATTGGTCTCCTTTCCTCCATTCCTTCCCCTCTTCAATCCATTCTCCAGACAGTCGCCAAATTGATATTCCCAAAACACAGATATAACCATGTCACTCTCCTACTCAAAAATCTTCAATGGCTTTCTCTTATCTCCAGGATAAAATAGAAAATAGCCTGGCATTGAATGCTTTCCTAATTTGGCTCCCACTTACCTTGCAACCCTATTTCATATTAATCCTTTCCCATAGCCTGTTCTAATGAAACTGTTTTGTTAGTTGTTCCCTGAACATGGCATTCCATTTCCCACCTTTTTGCCTTTGCACAAACAGCTCTCTCTTTCTGGAACTTACTCCTAACTTTCTTTGTATTCCTAGTGCTTAGTACAGTTGTCTGGCCAGTGTAGGTGTTTAACAAATGCTAGTTGATTGACCTTACCTCCACCTTGTTGAATCTCCAGTTCTCTTCAAAGCCCAGCTCAGGTACTACCTTCTACGAAGCTCTTTCCTCATCCTTCTAGTTATTGGTTAGCACTCTCCCAATTAGAACTATTTTGTTTTATATTATATTTACTTAATATTTATTTGCATGTGTTCACAAAGTTCTCATCAAACAGAATATAAGCTGTTTGAGGGCAGACACTATTTCATGTTTGTCTTTTTTATTCCCCAGTGTCCATTATGGTTCTTGGCACATCTTTGACCCTTTAATAAATGTTTGTGGAATTGAATTATGGAATGATCATTCTTGTTGGTGTCTACGGAAGTTCAAAGTAAGTTCTGGGTCATAGAATTTGAGAAGGTTAATGAACTGGGAGGTCAGTGTCCTTGAGAGACAGGTTTATACATTAAAGTCTTCAAGTATGGGAGCAGGGCATTACTTAGAGGGAAAGATGATAAACCAGACATTTTACTATTTCAGAATAGTGGAGGAATGACCTAGAGGTCACTAGATCACAGCAACAAGGATCTGGAGCAAACGTTTAAGCAGATGGCATAAACCTTTAAAGGAGAAGGGGTTGCCAAATGATGGTGGCAAAGGAACAGTCTGCAAGTGGTATTGGGAGCAATTTGTGAATTTCTCCTCCTACCCTAATATGTTGGAGGAATGAGAAAACAATAATAACTAGCATTTGTAAAGTGCTTTAAGATTCAAAAAATCCTTTACATGCTTTCTCATTTGATCCTCATAACAACTCTGTGATGTAGGTGCTATTATTATCCTCATTTTACCAGTGAGGAGACTGTAAGGCTCTACCAGAGGTTCCCAAAGTGGATGATACCATCCCGGCTGTGCTGGAATGATTGGGGAGGGGGTGGGGCAACAGTAGCCTAAGGTGCAATTGAGGAGCATTGAATAAAAATAAGGGGGCAGTGGAATTATAAGGAAAGAAGACAAGAGAAGAAAATTTTGAAAAACCATTCATTATACATTGATACATTGTGTGACAGAATAAAGATTTAGGGAACTAGATAAAATGAGATGGTAGATAAAACCAAAAATTTTTAATTTAACAGGCATAAATATGAAATCCCCTTCAGGTCAATTACATAAATGGAATATAGGAGAGATCTTACTGGATATTAGTTAGTTCAGGAAAAGACCTAGGGGGGCAGCTAGGTGGCACAGTGGATAGAGTTCTAGCCTTGAAGTCAGGAGGACATGAGTTCAAGTCCAGCCTTAAACACTTGACACTTATTAGCTGTGTGACCCTGGGCAAGTCACTTAACCCTGATTGCCTCACCAAAAAGAAAGAAAAAAAAGTCATGTCATGCCAGGTAAAGAGAGTAATAACAATAGCAATAATAATCAACATTTTTAACTGTGTAATCCTGGGCAAGTCACTTAACCCCATTGCCTAGCCAAAAAAAGAAAAAAAAAGACCTAGGAATTCAGTTTTGCACAACCTCAGTAATATACAAAAGTATTATATGGTTTCTAAAAATGTTAGAGTAATCTTAGGCTGCATCAATACAAGTAAAGTGTCTAGAACAAGGGAAGTAATAGTCCTATTATATTCTGTGTTGGCCAGACAACATACAGTATGTTTCATCTACTTTTAGATGCCACACATTAGAAGGGATATTAACAAACTAGAATGAGTTCAGAGAAGAATGACAAGAATGTGGGGATGAAGTTAGGGGCAGGGGCAGGTCTGGACACTCTCTTACAAGAGCAATTTCAAGAGCTTGGGATCTTTAGCTAGGAGGAGAGTAGATTTATTCAAAATGAAATATGTATCTTCAAGGGCACCTAGGTGGTAGAAGTGGATAGAGATTGAACCCAGACACAGGAAGACTTCTCTTCCTGAGTTCAAATCTGGCCCCAGACACTTACTAGCTGTGTGACCCTTGGCAAGTCTCTGCCTGCCTCAGTTTCCTCATCTGTAAAATGAACTATAGAAATAAATGGCAAACACTCCTGTATCTTTGCCAAGAAAACCCTAAATGGGGTCACTGAAAGTTGGACACAACTGAAACAACTGAACAACAACATCTATCTTCAAATATTGGAAGGACTCTCACGGAAAAGAGGACGTAGACATGCTGTGTTGTTCCAGAAGAGGACCATGTATAGATAGTAGTTAAAAGTTACAGGGAGGCAGACTTTAGGTCAATATAAAGAAAACTTTGTATCAGTCAGAACTATTTGAAAATGGAACAGGTTACTTCAACAAAGTAATTATTTAAAGTTTGCAAAATACTTTACATAGTATTTCATTTGATTCTCACATCAACCCTGTGCAGTCAGTGCTTTTATTACCCTCATTTTACTGATGATGATATGTGTAATAAGACACAAAGCAATGTCACTGAAAATGCTCAACATCTACCTGAAAGAAAGAAGGTATTCTGCACAGGATTGGTTAGAGCCAGTAGGTGAGCCAATAGAGTCACTTCCAGTTCTAAGAGTGTGTGATTCTGTAATGTTATGACTATCCAATGGAAAACATAGCATCTTTGCCTCAATGGCTAACAGCCAAGGAAGATTAGATCCTGTGGACATTCCATTGTGCTAGGACCTATTAATAGAGCATTAGTAGAGACAATTTCTGGAGTCTACTTCAACAACTTCCATACCCGTTTGAGAACATCAATGATAAGCTTCTGCCTCTTTTTAGAAAGGTTGTTGAAGGAATGAAGGTGGGAGAGAAACTCCTACATCAGTCTCCAGCTCTTATTCCACAATTCTAGCTCTGTTATGTCAGCCAAGATTTGGAACTAACTTTAAAAATTCATGCTTCCCCACTGGATTTGGAAGGAGGGACAGAGAGAGAGAGAGAGAGAGAGAGAGAGAGAGAGAGAGAGAGAGAGAGAG